CGTTTTCTCTTGCAATGCTCCCAAGTTCAAGTTGTTGCGAAGGAGCAGATTTCGCACGCAACGGCGACGCAGTGAACCCGTCTCGTCAAGGCCAGCGAGACACTACTTCGTAACAGGAGCTGAACGATTCGTCTTCATCAAGAATCTCAGCCATCCGAAGTGATTGGTTGGAGCAGTCTCAACATCGACCTCACGAGGTGACACACCAATCATGCATCGCGATTCCAGGTGTTAATGACCTGCATGGAAAATTCTCCGTGCATGTCACGATGCTTGACAGATTGAGGAGTAATTAACCTCTAATCCGGCAAGTACTCGCTCACTAGCGACCCTATGGCACATGCATTGGAGGCGATTCTACCAGAAGCCGAAGCGTTACAAGCATCAGCGTAACTTCGACGATGCAGGAGAACGCCTAGCACCACAAGGTGTCAACAAATGAGGGAGATGCGGACTACTACAACACGATCACGCGCTCTACCGACCGTACATCGGAGGCACGGATGAGCATACCAGGAATCGCTACTCGTGGATACATTGAGGGGAGAAGCAAGTTTCTCTTCACACCCTCAAATAAAATAATCACCAGCAGCAATGGAGCAACACAGGTGTACTAATGTGCACGTGTTCCTGGTAGTTACGCCTGTTACACCCATCAGGAACACTCTACTGGGAAGAGGGAGTTGATGGATTCTCCTTCAACCATTACGAGTTGAGAGAATTCTCTGCAGCAGCTGCCGCCGTCGCCGTCTTGTGCGGCCTTCGGCTCCCAGCCAAAGGACACACCGACACCGACGGGGCCGCCATGCCGGCAAGAGAAACATGTGTGAGATGTAGCCGAACAGGGGCAGGGGCTAGGAGGTGCACCGGACGACGGCAGACCTGACAACAGCGGCAGCGGTAGAGCCGGCGGCTAGTCCAGCGACAGGGTCGGTGGCAAGTCCAGCGGCAGGTCCGGCGGGTGGTGACGAGCGGCAAGCGACGGTGCCGAGGACAGAGACGGCGGGCGCTGCAGGTGCAGCGTTGGTGGGGGTTGCGGCTGCAGTGGTGGCGGCGGCGGCAGCTGTGCTGGCGGCTGTGGCTGCATCTGGCGGCAATAGCGGGCATGGCGTAGCGGGCAGCGCGCAGCAGGCGGTGCGCAGTGGGGAGCACGCAACGGGCACCGAGGAGCGGGCGGCGCGCAGCGGGCAGGGCAACGAGCTGCCAGCGGTAGCAGCGCGAGCGCGAGCAGGTGGCCAGCAGTGGCAGGCGGCCAACGGGCGGCCAGAGCGGCAGCGGCCAGCGGAAGGCCAGCAAGTGGCCTGCGGGCGGCCGGCGGGCAGCGAGCAGCGCGAGCAACAGCGGCAGGCGCAGGCGGCCAGCGGCCAGTGGGCAGCCAGCGGGCAGGCAGCGAGAAGCGCGAGCAGCAGCAGCTAGCGGCAGCGGGTGGCCAGCAGGCAGCGCGATGGCGAACGTCAGCGGGCGGCGGCCTGCAGGCGACGAGCTGGCTGGCGGCGGGCGAGCGGGCAGGCAGCGGGCGGCACGCGAGCAGGCAGGCGGCGGGCAAGGAGCTGGCGAGCGGCGTACGCAGGCGGCAAGCAGCGGGCTAGGGTGGTAGGATAGGATGAGAGGGGACCGGGGAGAATCTAGGGGCGGAAGCGTAGAGGCTAGAGTCATTAAATCGCTAGTCCTAACCACGGGGACAAGAATGGATATCCTCACGAGGGCTGGGCTTCATATATCCACCTTCCTTAGGGAAAGCCTCCCTAGTACCCTCCCTAAAGATAGAGGAGGATTGGCAAAGCTATCCCAGTGCCACGACACACCCCCCTGTTGGGATAGTGTGTACACCAGGAATTGAACCCTGGATCGCTCTGATGCCAAGTCATAAAGTCACCAGTCCTAACCCCCGGGACAAGAAGGGATATCCTCAGAAGGGTTACGCTCCATATATCCACCTTCCCCAGGGAAAGCCTCCCTAGTACCCTCCCTAGAGATAGAGGAGGATCGACAAGGCTATCCCAGTGCCACGACAGCTAGGATCTAACCTAGCGATGATACCGTAATCCCCCGTATAAAGCACCCAATGTTGTTAATAAAAATGCATGAATATTTTGGGATGGGTGTAATTTAAGGCAAAAAAAATATAACACCCAGGAGCTATGGAACATGCATATGGCATTCCCAATTGGAATTCAAATGTGCATGTTTCACCACATTCATTTGAGTCAAACGACAACTTTTGTTCGCCACATCGCGTACCTGACAATGTGGCACGGTTGCATGGCACTGTTGAAATTATCTAAGTTATAATTGATATAGGCTTGGTAGGTTGTTACTGAACCTTTCTGTAGAGGGTACAAACCCCTCCTTGTATGCCTCTCTCTTACTACTCTAACCACTTTTTCTCTCGACACTTTGTCTTCCCTCCTAGCTAAACCCCGCCGCCACTTTCATGGCGGCCTTCACTACCTCCTAGCCTAGTTCTACTTTCTGACATGGTTTCAGAGCAGGTGACCATTTACGGGCCTACTCCCCACGCTTCCGCCGCATACCTGTCTTTTGCTCGTCTCCTTTCCGTGCCGCCAATGGCGGCCTTTAGTTTTCCTGCCGCCGTGGCGGCCTTGCCTTTCCGTGCCGCCGTGGCGGCCTCTCCGAGATGCCGCGGCGGCTTAGTCGTGCTACTGTCGCACCTCCGCCTCGCCGCCGCGGCATCGACGTCGTGCTGTGGCGGCGTCTTTTGGCTGCCGTGGCGGCGTCGTCGGGCGACAGCCGGCCGCGCATCATCAGTGGTGCCGCCGGACCTGCCGCCCGCTCTGCAGCCGCCGGCGTGATTCTGGACTATGCCCCGCTCCCCCCCCCCCTTTTCCTTCCCCTCCGTTCCCCCTTCCTTGCCACAGTCGACGATTGCCTCATGATGGCCGTCCCCGTCGCCGAGGAGCCTGCCATGCCGCCGAGAGGGCGGGGGCCGCTGCAGTAGCCTCTGACGATTGAAGCCGCCGCCGCCGACGCCGCTGTTGCCGCTGGCCTGCTGCCGCCACACGCCGTTGCCGACCCCGCTCTCGTCACTGCCGCCGTTGCCGCCATAGCCGTCTCCCGGGCCGTGGGACTGGACCATTCTTAACGGCATCTCAGCTGCTGCTGGGCATGGGTGCTTAGTTAGGGGGTGTGGGGGTGTGTGTGTGTGTGTGGGCTTAACACTCCCAAGCCTAGGGGGTGTGTTAAAATTATCTAAGTTATAATTTATATAGGCTTGGTAGGTTGTTACTGAACCTTTCTGTAGAGGGTACAAACCCCTCCTTGTATGCCTCTCCCTTACTACTCCAACCACTTTTTATCTCGACACTTTGTCTTCCCTCCTAGCTAAACCCCGCCGCCACTTTCATGGCGGCCTTCACTACCTCCTAGCCTAGTTCTACTTTCTGACAACATCGGCAGTGAACGTGCAAAGTCAAGCAGACAGCGTGTGCAGCAGGCGTGACCTGTGTCCTAATGAGTGCCGGTTTCCCGACCAGTAGGAGGCACCCGGCGTTTGGTTCGGCTCGACGTGCTCGATTTCGCATTTTTTTTCGAGGATTTTCAACAGGGCAGATTCGGATCTTCTACCTGAATTCCCGCGGCACAATGGCAACTAGCTCGTTTTCCCCACTCCCGCTGATGTTGATACCGTTGGCACAACAGGAGAAGGAAAACTAAGGGCAGCACACATCTTCACATCGCAAATTCTTGTGTTTCTTGAAAAAAAAAAAGAAAAAAAAAGAGGCAACGAAATCGTCTTAGGGTTGCGGAGAATTTCATAATTTTCAATAAAATACTTTCGATAAAGGCGCTTTTATATAACACATTTATTTCTCATTCTATTATGCTGTTCAAAGAAAAATGTGTGACATATAGCTAAAAGAGCAAGTGGCAATATGAGTATATAATTCTGAAACTTTAATACAATGTCGAAGTCAATTTGAATTGTATGTCATAGGTTGCAGTATAACAGTAAAGTTTCTGTTGAAATCGTTTCTGTTACACATGAACGCTTTGTGCTGACATGAAATGGGTTAGCTTTGTGTTCATGAGAACGCACCCCTTCTAGGGTTTGCTTGTGCCACCCTAGCCGTTGCTGTGAGTGCTCGGCATTTTCTACATTGTTCAAGTCTGTCCCGTACTCTTTCCTGTCCCTAGTTTCTATTGCACCTAGTTTCGAACCATGGCTAATTGCTAGCTAAGCCAGGCTATCTACTTCCTAGTCAGCATGCTTCTAGCGTGCATCCTGTAGGGAAGCATTAGCGCTTGCGCCTAACCTGATGGCACCTAGCGCGCTGGCGCGTAGCACGCTGGCGCGTAGCGCGCTGGCGCCGTGCGCGCTGGCGTTGTGCGCGCTGGCGCCGTGCGCACTGGCGTTGTGCACGCTGGCGCCATACGCGCTGGCGCGTTACGCGCTGGCACTGTGCGCACTGGCGCGATACGCGCCGGCGCCGTGCGCGCTCGTGCGATGCGCGCAGGCGCCGTGAGCGCTGGCGCGTTGCTCGCTGGCACCGTGCACGCAGGCACCGTGCACGCTGGCGCGATGCGCGCAGGCGCCGTGCCCGCTGGTGCGATGCGCGAAGGCGTCGTGCGCGTTGGCGCCAAGCGCACTGGCGGGTACGGCACTGGCGCTGTGCGCACTGGCGCGTTGCGCGCAGGCGCGATCCATGCTGGAGCCGTGCACGCTGGATGCTGTTGAATGTGCAGAGCAGAGAGGAGGAAGAGAGGGAAAGGAGAATAAAGAGTACAAATGGTACTAAGGTAAGAGCATACCCATTTGCTTGCGTTTGTCATCTTTTTCCCATTTGTTTTGCAGTCCATGTGTTTCTTTCATTCGCTCACTCCATTTGACAACTTAGCATTCTTATAGCAGTTATCCTTCTAGCATTGCCCTCACTTCCGTTCTTGATCACTCTCATTCTGTCACGCCTCTCTCTCTCTACTGCTGCTTGTCTCTCTTTCTACCTCTCTCTCTCTCCCTGCCCCTCCCCCTGTCTCACACTCTCTCTCACTCTTTTTCTCTCTCTCATCTGTTTTTCCTCTCTCTCTCTCTCTCTCTCTCTCTCTCTCTCTCTCTCTCTCTCTCTCTCTCTCTCTCTCTCTCTCTCTCCCTCTCTCTCATTCTCTCATTCTCTCTCTCCTCTCTCTCCCTCCCTCCCTCCATCCCTCTTTCCCTTTCTTTTTCCCTCTCTCTCCCTCTGTCTCCCTCTCTCTCGGTCATTCTCCTCTCTCTCTCCCCTTCTCGCTCTCTTCTCTCTCTCTCTCTCTCTCTCTCTCTCTCTCTCTCTCTCTCTCTCTCTCTCTCTCTCTCTCTCTCTCTCTCTCTCTCTCTCTCTCTCTCTCTCTCTCTCTCTCTCTCTCTCTCTCTCTCTCTCTCTCTCTCTCTCTCTCTCTCTCTCTCTCTCGTCCCATTTTTTACCTCTATCTGATGTGTCGTTCCTTTCTTCAATCCTCATTCGCATTTCCCGAGTTCATGCATTATGTTTTTCAACTAAACTTGTGTTCTTTTCATGTTCTCTCTCTTTTTTTGCCACGTATGTTGGGTGGTTCAGGAATGCCAATGGAAGAGATTTCTGGTTTTCGGCTGTGGTTTTTATTTACAGTAGACTGTCATATAAAGGGTTTCAATTGCTTTCTGTTCGTTCCTTTCTTTCTTGTGATGAATTTTGGAGTCCGTGTGTTTCCTTTGCTTTACATTGTTGCCCTTCTCTATTCTGCTACTGCTTGCTTGACACAGCGGTTGTGCACTTTGTGTATGAAAGAAATTGGTTTGAACTGATCGTCTCGAGTAAGGTTCTTTGACTTTCCACCTTGAGTGCAGTCACTTGAACTGGAGATGATAAGTGCAATCCATTTTCTTGTAGTGACAAAGTGCATTGCCTAAAACAATGTGTCATTTGTCTATTAGGCTTTCGACTTCCCCCACTTAGCTGGGGAAGCAATTGCCTATTTTTGTCGCCGAAAAAATACGCCACGGGAAATGATGGAAAACATTTACATTCTTTTGGTTTTCCATATATTTTTTTTTCTTTTTTCAATACTAGAGTGTAATTACTATATTACACTAGGTTACACATTTCAGTGACTCCCTTTCACATACCGGTGGTTGAGGAAGGGATATCCTACTCCCAGCAACGAAAATGCGAACTGGGAAATGATGGAGATGCGAACAATTTTTCATCATTGTTTCGTTTCAAGTATTACGATGTAGTTGTGATATGACACATCTTTCATTTTTTTGCCAAGTGAAGCTAATGAAGCTATGCAGTTTAGATGATGAACGATCCCCAATATATTGCCATTACTCCCCATCAGGGCTTCAGATTGGATTTTGAGGGGCTGGTGGCTCAGGGTGCCCCCAGCAGGAACCCCCATTTTTCAGGGTCTAGTTTTGGAAGTTGCATATTTTGTCAGGGTAAAAAATTTTGAAGGTTGAAAGTTCAGGACTGAAAATTTATAGGCCTGACATGTTAGTGTTGAACTTCTGCATTTTTTTTTTTGTGGGTTTGATTTTGACCTAGCACAATGTGTTAGACTGCACCTTGACTTGTTTGTTTGAATGTTTTCATGGTATACACTTGGTAGTATAACAATTTAAGAGACGCACAGCCTATGGTGCTGCTACTGCTGCTGCCTTTTGTGTTGACTTACTGCTGCATGATACTACTGATGCTGCCACTCTTGCTGCTAGAACTCTTACTGCTCTTCCTGCTGCACCCAACTGCTCCATGTGCTGCCGCTGCTGCTGCCATTGTTGGTGTTGCAGCTGACGCTGCTGCTGCCGCTGCTGCTGGTGGTGGTTCACTTGCTACTCCTCGTCTTCGTCTGACTTACTTCCGCCGCTGCTGCAATCCTCACCTTCAGCTGCATACCAGAAATCCTCATCGACCACTCCTCCACCAACCCCCCCTCCTCTCCCCTCCTCGTACCCCTCCTCCAGCTCCTCTTCCACCTCCTCCTCTGGCTCCTCATCCAACTCCTCCCCTTGCCCCTCCACCACCTTTTCTTTCCCCTTCAAACTCTTCACCCGACCTCGGGGGTGGATGCGGGTGGAGAACTGCTTCCGCTTCTTCCCTCGAAACACCTTCACCACTTCCTCCCAATCAGGCTCGTAGTCAAGCAACGCCATGCTCATGAGGTTTTCGAGTGTGGTGTTTCCTAGGCTGCCTCGGCACCAGCTCTTGATGATGTTCTGCCGACTGAAGCCGCGCTCACACTCCACCGTAGACAGTGGCAGCACTGCGACCGCGACCCACAGTCGGCCCAGGTTCGGGAAGGCCTTTGTCCAGTCATCCGACTTCAGCATCGCCGCCAGCCCGTCGTAGAACTTCCGCTCCCCCACGGGAGCGTCTCTTAGCAGGGAGATCAGAGTATGCAGCTCCCTGGTTGCCGCCCTCTTGTTAACACCTGCACAGAATCGGAGGGCGCAAGGGGAGGAGAAGGAGTGGTATAGATGCAGGCCGTTAGTATGGGGATAAGGATGACACGCAGGCAAGATGCATGGTTACAGCTGGGTTCATGCACATTTAGCAACAGCTTACCTGGCAGAGCCTCCCGACGCCCGGATGCGCGGAAGAGGTCGAACAAGCTCTGCAGCCAGTCCATGCACTGGGTGTTCCGCTCCTTCCTCCCTGGCAGCCATGCTTCCGGGGTGAAGAGCCTGCACCCGTTGAACTTCTCCAGGTCGCCCAGCCGCTCAACGATGTTCTGCTCGGTCGCCTTGGCGAATCTCATGCAGATGCTGCTGCACTCGTCGTGGTCCTCACCAGGGCGCTCGTCGTGCATGTCAAACTTGTGCACGATTGATGTGCCGTCGGACTTGCATCCCTCAATGGTGATGGCGCGGCTGCTGCGGTGCACTTCGATGAATGCAGTGAGGAGCGGAGAGTTGCCGCCCCCAAAAGTTGCTGCCGCACTCGACGTACCGCTGCTTGATGTAGACGACGGTCCTTCGAATAAGGCCCTGGACGACCGTCAACTCGACCTGTGGTAGGAGAGGGCTTGGGCAAATAGCTCAGGGAGACACATGATTAGACAAACAGAATAGGACCATGCAAGGAACCAACCTGGTCGGCTTAGAACTTTTTGTTGAGGCTGTTCAGTAAGCCAAGCATGTCAGCTACAGTAGGAAGCAGAGGAAAAAGTGAAACTTGTAGCTTTTTACGATGTTGTACATCTCCTGGTCATACTCAAGAAGTAGAATGACCACAGCTGGTAGCACGTCGACGAGGCGGGCGATCGCCTCACCTTAAGATAGCCAGCGTAGGTTGAAAATACCCTGCATCTTGAGGTTCGTCTGGGTGAAGACGTCTTGGAGGTTTTTGAAGCGCGCGTGCCAGTTTCCAGAGCAACCCAGCAACTCAGCAACGGTCTGGATGAGCTTGTCGACCACTGCTAGTTCTGGAACGGCGGTTGCTGCATCCTTCGCAGCGAGGGCCTCCGTGCGTACACAGCAGAAGCATCAGCGTTGTGATCAAACAGTAGCTGGAGAGGCACAGCGAGTACAGACACCAGAGTCGTCAGAAGTCATGGTCGGGTAACGAGAAGTGAGAGGCAAACACATGCAGCGTGACTCACCTGTGAGCTATGCAGAGCTATGCAGTGGCAGGACACCAGCCACAGTGACATGGCACGAATGCGACTAACGAGGCCGGTGTTGGAGCCCATCATGACAGCAGCGCCATCCGTGCTGATGCCGGCAATGTTGTCGGGGTGCACGCCAATCTTGGCTAGATGTTCCTGAATGAGAGCATGAATAGATGCTGCATCGCACTGTTCCAGTGTTAGCAAGGCGTTGAACGCAGTCACAACATGCCCATCACGCAGAAATGTTACAAACATAATCAAGTGTTTCCCTCGAGTGCGGTCAGTCGACTCGTCGCAACTCAGCCCAATGAAGGGACTCGCGTGAATGTGGCGTAGCTGAGAAGCATGAAGCCAGTTTGACAGAGACTGCATCAGTTGCGCGAAGCCATCCCTGCATGGGGTAGAGCTCACCACGTGAGACACGGCACTCGTAGGCATAAGAGAGGAGCGGGCAAAAACATTGACGTCCTAAACTCACGAGGTGTAGTACCGTAGCTCTTTTTCGGAAAGCCGGGGCACTTCCGCTTCGCTAGGAAGCGGACGAGCTTCACCCAAGTATTGATCGGCGCGTCGCACTGCAGATGAAATGCAGGGCCTTTCAGTAGTGCGATGAGTCGTCCCTTCTCGAGATCTTGGGCCTATGGGAAGTCTGATATCTTCTTCAGCTTCTGAGCGTCTTCCATGGCCTTCCTCTTCGCCTTGATGCATGCCTTGTGCCGTGTTGACCGGCCATGCCTCTTCATTGCCTATGTCTGTACAACAACTGTGCCCTCCCCATGTCGGCCATATTTGGTGCCCAGGACGCCATGATCTGTGCACACACTATATCGCAGGGATGGAAGGCCATTTTTAGTACGACACAGGAGCAACCAAATAAACTGCTCCTGCCAGTCCGACTTGAAATTTTGCAGAGCTTGAAGATACAACAAGTCAGCAGCCTCTGCAAATTCCTCATCAGCGGTGGCTGACGACTGGATGCGCGACTCCACTGGTGTAGCGGTAGAAGGACCAGCCACTGGAGTTGCACTCGTTGGCGTAGTTGACGCAGCACCGCCTGCCAACTGCTCGACATGCCGTGTCGTCGTTGTCGGAGAGGCTGCATCCACCGGTGGAGCACGCGACGGCTTGTGCCTCCGAGCTGTGGCGAACGTGATGGTGGCAGGATGTTTGTCGACGGTCGTCGGAAGCCGAAACGACAGCAACGCTTGACGGTACGTTCGTTTCGGGGGAGAACTAGGCGCACCGCGATCTGCTCCACTACCGCCATCACCGGCCGCTCCGACCGCCTGCCCTGCATCACCTACTGGGCTGTGAGGGTGGGGCGACACACGGCCAGCATCATCACCGGGGCTGCATTGGATCGGGAAGAATCGCGGAGCGTCGTGAGCCGGAGAGCGGGGCAGCGGCGACGAGCCAGCGTCGCCACGCGCAGGGCTGCGCACAAGCGTGGACCCACGCGCAGCCTCGGCAGAGGGGATGCAAACGCACGGAGAGGAGACTGAAGCCACCACCGGTGGGCTGTATATGCGAGGAGAAGAGCGCGCAGACTCTCGTGCAGGACTGCGCACGACGGGTGACGCGCGGCCATTGTTAATCGTGGGCCTCTGAGGCGTAGTAGACGCAACAGCAGATCTACGCTGCGGACTGCTAGGCAGGGGAGGGAAAGGGTCGATACGGGTATCAGCGATACTCCACACGGCGCCCTGCCTTGCAGGACGTACAAGAAAATCCAGCGCTGACTGTGTTACAGGCAAGGCACTGGCTTGCCCTGCGGCCTCCTTGCTGTGGCGCCGTTTTGAGCCTTGCACCTGCCATCCCTCATCGTCGCTCATGGCATGGTGAGTGAGAGACGGTCGAGCAGGTGGTGCAGAGAGACGACACAGAGCAGCTAGCGAAGGTCAGGCAAAAAAACTGAGTGAGCTACAAGCCTTTTGCTACGTTTGCCCGCACCGCATGAAAGCGATGAACCAGGAGGAGCATGCTCGGCTGGGACGAGGGGTTGAGTGGTGGTCGCACCACGCGATACGGTGTGGCAGCGTGCATGCCAACTTGTTCGAAAGACAGGTGCATCGTTGTCGGCCTAGCAGGCAGCGGGTGCTCAGTAGTAACACGACACGACCCCCGATTGGTTGGTAAACCCCTGACTTCGCCCTAGACCAATCCCGCTCCTAACAGCTGTTCCAGCACACCCTCTGCTCCACGAAGCTGCTTGTAATTTTGACTACGGACCAATCACCGACCTCCTCTCACGTGCTCTTTGAGGAGGGATGTGATTTTGGTGAAGGACCAATCACGCCCCTCACACGTGCTCCATAACACACCCCATTCCAGCCGTGATTGTCGTGTACCGAAAAGACTCTGTTTCAGGCTGAAAATCCATTAAGGCTGATAATTCAGGGTGACCAAAACAAGAACATACAAAAATTCAGGCCTGCTCAAATGAGAACCCCTAAAATTCAGGCCAAGGGAAAATCAAAAGCTGAAAAAACAGGACGAACCTAAAAAAACACCCTACTATACAGCATTTCAGGGCATTTTGTCCTGACTTCTGAAGGCCTGCTACCCATCATTTTGCTTCTATTAATATCATTTTTTTCTAATAAAACTTCAAAAAAAAAATCTCGTTTGATCCATCGCAATAGGTTGCTCCGCAACCCAAAAAAATCTAGGCGGCAGGGGGATGTTCAAATGTTTTCACATCCGAGGGTAGGGTGTTGTGTATATCCAGAAAAAAATATACACCCATACCCGCTCAAGCTACTCGGGGGAGCTTAATTCCGGCGGGTGTTTTATAAGGGGGAATACGGGTGTTTCATTCAAATGTTTTATGTTGTCCCCTCTAATCCTGTTCTCTTGTTCTTTGTGTTAAGATGACTTCGCACAACACAATCCTCAAAAATTTCTTACGGTATCACCATACATGTGTTGTCATTTGAGTGTCGGCCCTATACCCCGATAAACGCCGTGCGGGCGAAAAAAAACGAGCCAGGCGTATATCCTGTAGAGCACGATACACACAACTCATCGTTGTGCCACCATCCATTCATAAACACATAAGACGCTTGAAGCAAACCACGCTCGCAACAAATTTCTCTCTGCTGGAAACATGTCAATCTCACATCGAGTAAGTTCTGTACCTCCGTCTCTTCACGAACAGGGTTGAAAGAACCTTGAGCAGCACTTTCTCATTGAGTGGCTTCTGCACCGCCCCATCCATGCCGGCCTCGATTGCACGGGCAGCAACGGTGCTGTCGACATCTGCTGACATGGCCACCACATGCGTGCGCTGCTGCCGTTGTGGGCCACCATCTAGGCCCTCAGCACCCCCCTCCAGCAGCTCTGAGATGCTCTCCATGCGCCCCGCGCCCCCCTCCATGGCGCGCAGCTGGGCCGTGGCCTGGTAGCCGTTCATGAGGGGCATGTGGAGGTCCATGAGCACGAGGCGGAAGGAGTGCGGCGGCTGCAGCAGCAGCAGAGCCGCCTCGCCTGACTCTGCCAGTGTGACGTCAGCACCGTATCGCCCCAGCGTGCTCGCTGCCACCCGCCGGTTTATCACATTGTCGTCCACCACCTGGTTGACAGGGGGATGAGGATGGATGGAGAGAGGAGAGACAAAGTCTATCATAGACTGTTTGCAGGTGGGGGGAAAGGAAACATGGGAGCTTGATCTGAATGTCAGAGTTGGGGGTGGGAGGGAACGAAGGAAGAGGGGGAAGTATCAACGAGTGGAAGGGACACTCGTTGTCCCAGCAGATGCCAATAACTTCAACGAATTCCCTGAGCCAATGCTCCTCACCAGGATCGCCATGCCGTGGAGCATTTTCTTGAGTGTCTCCTTGGTACTCTCCACCTTCTCAACCCCCCGCTCCACCCCACTTGTGCTTTCTCCCCCTCCACATCCCTCTCTCGCACTCTGGCTTCTGCTGGGATGGGGCCCACTGTCTCCGCCAGCATCACAACCAGCAGAGGTAGCAGAATAAGCCGCAGCAGCAGTGTGAGCAGAAGAATCACCAGCAGCAGAATCAGCAGCAGCAGGAATTTGAGAAGGCGCAGCAGCAGCAAAGGGCAGAGCCACGTGCAGAGTGGTGCCATGGCCCTCCGTGCTGAGCAGACCAATGCTGCCACCCAAAAGGGACACCTGGGACAAGTTGGGGTAGGGGGAGGGTGTAATTAAGCAGACCAGTTGAACCTTGCACTCGCAACTCACTAGGGATGACATGTGCGATGGAGCCAAGGCAATGGAGCCAAGGCAATGGAGTCGACACCTGCGCCGCTGCCTCAGAAATCAGAATCTCTGCTAACACCTCTGCCCGTCATGATCTTTGCGATCCATTGGCTGAAGCTGTCGCCAGCTGTCAAACAAGACTCGCAAGCTGTCAAGCAAGACTTACCAGCTGTCGCGACAAGTGAAGGCTCATGCCACTACCGCCATGCGCATGCCTCTTCTGGTGTGGCTGATGGGTGGGTGGTGCATTGCAAAGAGGCGCATCAATGAGAAACAGTAGTGGGTGCAGCAGCAAAGTTGGATGGCGCCACTTCACAGCTACCGACTCTGCACCCTGCTCAGTAGAGTGCAGTGCGGATATCAACCAATTTACAAAGCGCTGCTTGCCAAAAACCATTTTGCACATCAGCCACTGCCTATTTGTCCAAATTCCAGAAGTTTGGACCAAGACACATGCCGACAACATTGAAGTACTCCTGATTCTTGTTCACATGGTTTTAGGCATCCTATCCACCTTATGCTTTGCTCATGACAACCTCAGGTGGGCTCATGACCGCTCGTGAAAGACCCATGCTGAGATTGTGAGACGCTCACAGAATTTGTGTCTGACAGTGCGTCACAGGGGTCAGGCTGGAACCTCATCACGCTCCACCCACCCCGGCCATCCAACCTTCTCCAGCCATCGTGCCACGCGCCTCACTGCCTAATAAGCACATTGAAAATACTTCCTGACACGTGGTACACGGCTCACCTGCATGAACGCGTGAAAGACATCAGCTTGCTCCGCCTCCGCAATCCCACACCCCGTGTCCTCACATGTCAGCAGCAGCACCAAGCGCCTGTCAGCATCCCCCTCAGACTCACCCCCCCCTTCCATGGGAGCCCCCCCCCACCACCTCCTCTCTGCATCCATCCATGCGCCCTTGCTGCCACCCCGTGCTGTTGCTGCTGCTGCTACTGCCCTCCCTGCCTCACACGTGTCACCTCCCCCAGATGCACCTCCTCCACATGGACCAACACATGGCCCATCCCCCTCCCCCTCATCTGCCTCCCTCAATAAGGCTCCCTCCTCCCCAACCTCTCTCAAGCCAAGGTTGCGCCCTCCTTCCTTCTTCCCCTCTCCACTCTTCTCCAACGCCAACAGTCCATGTGCCTCACCTGCCGTGCCCCCAGAACCCCCTGCCCGCACTGCTGCATTCCCCCCTTCACCTCTTCCCCGGGCCTCACCTCCGAGCCCTCCACTGCGCCCAGGCTCTGCATTTGCCCCATCTTCCCCCTCACACTCCATTCGCCTCTCCACTACCTTTCCCCCCGACTCTTCCCATCCTTCCCCCTCTCCCTCCCCCTCTCCCCCTCCATGACCACGGCTGTGTGCCACGGGCTTGAGAAGAGCCCAGCATTGAACGAGGTCAGGCGCTCCCGCAGCACCTGCGGCGCCCACACGCCCATGACGGCCGCTGCCAGCCCGTGCTGCTCCACCTGCTCCATGAACGGCACCCTCGCTGCGCCCCCCCCCTCATTGCCACGCGCAGCAGCTCTGGTGGCAGCGGCGGCAGCGTTGGCAGCAGCTGGGGTGTGTTGAGCCACGTGGCAGCCGAGTGATCGAAGGTGAGTGGGGATGTCGGTGGTGGCGGGGAGGCACTGCAGCTGCACACACACCCCTCCACTGGACGTGAACTTGATGGCGTTGTCTGCAGCAAGCACAGCGAGCGGCAGGCACGGAGTGCATAGGACATGAGGAGGGCAAACAAGACATCGCATCATCAAACCTGCTGTACGCCGAAATCAAGCAACCAGAGGAAGATCAATGGTTGGTAACAAGTGCTCAGCTGAGGACTCGAGTGGCTCACCAACGATGCTGTCCACCACTTGCTGCAGGCGCAGGTAGTCCCCCACCAGCACCTCCGGCACACCCGCATCCACGCGGCAAGCGACTGGGCATGGGCACATGAAGAAATATTCAGAGAAAAAACACATGTGCATGTTAGAAACATGAGAGGAGCAATCTAGAAAGCGAGAAGAACGAAAAGGAAGGTGTGAAGATGGAAGGGGCAAAGTTGGAAAGGACCGAAGAAGGGTGCTCTCCTTACAGTTCAGGTGTCGAGCCTGCGCAGCGTGTGCATGGGTGTGCAGCGCCTCGCGCAGCCAGGAGCGCAGGTGGAAGGGCAGGGACTCCAAATGCAGGCGGCCGGCCTCGGCCTTGGAGACGTCGAGCACGACGTTGATGAGCGCCAGGATGCGCTCCACCTCGCCCACCGCCGTGCCCACGTCCTCCCGCTGCCCCTCGTCCACCTGGCCCTCCGCCAGCTCCTCCAACATGCCTGCTCGGGGCGCAGCGCACACCGACACAGGGTGAGGCACGCCCCATGTTCTTTGCACACTGCACACCATACTGTCATTTCCTTGTCAGAATATTTCCGTTCTTTGCAGACAAGTGCTCGTACAACATACACAACAACCTTCATGAATCGAAACCGCAAGCTACATGATCATCCAAGGTTCAAAAATACGGCTTTCGAAAAATGCGGTCCGTATTATTCAGCTGTGTTTTCCGGGGATTTTTGGAAAACAAAACGCCGTTTTTTTAATTTAGTTTTTTTTTGTTTTTTTTTTTTTGGTAGTCAGCCTAATCGTCCGCCAGATCCGCGCCATTCGTCCGCCCAAATGCGGGATCCGCGCATTTCGACGGGCGAAATGTCAGACCTCCGTATTTCGGCTGACGAAACGTCAGATCCATACATTTCGTCCACCAAAAACGCAAGATCTGGCACATTTTGGTGGGAAAAATGCCAGATCCGTGCATTTGGGCGGGCGAAATGCCAGATCCGCGCATTTCGTCGGAGTTTTTTGCGCGTTAAACAAAAAAAAAAAAATCGGCCGTTTTTTTTAACCAACCTATTTTTGCACAATCTTCACCGTTTTTTTCGTATTAAACGGCCGTTTAATTCGATAACGTTTATTACGGCAAAAGAAAAAGAAAAAACGGCTTTTTTTTAACCCTGTGATCATCCCTGCAACTGTTTTGAGTCAAACACACAGCAAGCCAGTCCCACCATCATCAACAAGCACCCATGAATGACCATGGATATTCACTGGACGGTCCAGGGTCTGTCCGGCCCGTCCCGGGCCTGCGTTTTGCCGGGCTCCAGCAACTCTTGCCTCTTGCCTGGCCCGAGGCCTGCGCGGTCCGTTGTCGACCTCGATGTCGGGCCGACTCAGTTCGGTGTGGGCCACCTTGCGGGATCGGGCCAGTCCGTCCCGTGGGCGGGCCTTGCCCCGCCCACCATGTAACCAGCGGCCTCGTGCCGGCTTAGAAGCCGGTCCGGCCCGTACTGGTGAACATGCCTATGAATGACTCACACCATTCACACCAACCATTCCCACGCACCCCTGACGCCGATGATCGGCGTGCGGAGCTCATGAGCTGTGTTGGCAATGAAGGCACTCTTGTTCCTCTCAGCCTCCTGCGTCTTCTCCTTGAGCATCTCCAGCGCCGCCGTCTTCTCCCGCACGGCCCGTGTGTTGCACGCCACGCTCACACCGATGGCGGCCAGCAGCGCCGCCACCACCACTATGACGGTGGCCAGCAGAATGGCCGTCCAGCTGTGCGCCGTGTCCGAGCCGCCGAAGCTGGCAGCACAGGGGTGGCATGGGGAGTGTGAGGGGCAGCACGGGGAGTGAAGAGGCAGCATGAGGAGTGTACAATTCTAATTCAGCCCTAGAAACGAAGGGTGGGATGGAGGAGGTCGCTCTCAGTAAGACGGCCAACATGGAAGGTATAAGCAGACCAACGAATGACCTGGCGACATCTCACCGGCACCAGAGCTCGTAGGATCGCGAAGAGTCGGTGAGGTTGATCTGCTGCACGGACTTGTAGCGGTGTGGCTGCAGCATGGTTTCATTGGAAGGCGGAATGAGCTTTGACACCTCATAGGGGTTCCCTTGAGGCAAATCGCCCACTCCGTACAGCAGGCGAGGGCCGGGTGGCGGGGAGTTGGCAGGGATGGGGAAGGGGATGATGTCGGTGGAGGTGACGTCATAGACCTCGAGGGCATACTCCACACCTGGAAAAGGAAGAAAACACATTTCGAAGAGACCTCATGCTGATTCTTGATCACTAAAATAGATAATGTAAATTGCTCTTTTCAACACTATATGTGGAAAACAAGCAAGCACACAGTAAGAAACAAGCGGGAAGGAAGCAGCAGCGCGCACCTTGCCGAAGGACCTCGTTGATGATGAACGCGGCGAGGCTCTTGAAGTCGATGGACGCCGCAATCTGCCCGATGAACGCCGCCCGCCGCTCCGCCAGGGGGGATGATATGTTTATGCCGGCCCTAAAGATCGGAAACCCCATGCCTGGCCAGCGGTTCAAATGGTGAGGAAGCGCGTTAGAGAGTGAGTGAGCGAGTGAGTGGTGAGTGAGAGTGGTTGAGTGTACTAGAGATGAAACAGAAGAAGAGAGAAAAAAAATGGAAGGGGGGGAAAGACATGTACGAAGGCTTTTGCATGCATGACCTCACCCGTGCCTCGCACCACTCCCACTCACCCATGCCCGCCTCGCCGTTGTCGAGCACGTAGGGCATGCTGAGCTGCTTGATCGGCATGTCGTGCATGCGGGTGAGCTGCGGACCGTACGAGGGGTGCGTGCGCACGTTGACACAGGTCGACGTCATCTCCAGCAGCGGCAGCGGCGAGTTCTCCTGGAACCACACACGCGAGTTCATGTACCAGTCCGCCACCGGGGCCGGCTTTCCCAGCAAGTCCAAGAGGTGGCAGTGCGCCTGGCGCTCAAAGGCCGCCCTGGGGGGGGAAGGGGGGGGGAGCAAGAGGGGAGTGGACGAGGAGAGAGGACGTGAGGCGGGAAGAGCAGAAAAATGGGGAGGAAAAAAAGGAGGAAGAAGCTGACGTGGACAAGGGCACTCAAATCCGCATGGCAGGTCGAGGATGACAAGCAGTGGCAAGAAGAGTCAAGTTCGTTGACATGTGCAAATAGCCAAACAGAGCATCCACACGTGAAATGCCCAGTATGAATTTGGGCCAATCCACAGAGGACGCGAGAGGGGGAGGAAGGGGAACGGGAAGGTGGGGGGGGAGGGGGTGATATGGAGGGATGGCCGGAGGGAGGGGGGAGGAGGGAGGAGGGGGAGTGGAGGGGGGAAGGGAGGGAAAGGGTTGTGGGAGGGAATTGAGGGAGGAGCTGGGGGGGAGGAGGGTGGGGGGGGGAGAATGGGGGCGGATGGGGAGGTGCGGTGCAGCACACCTGTCGGAGCCGTTGATGACGGCCATGTAGCCCACGGCGTGCACCCAGGGCTGCGCGGCGATGGTGCGCTCCACGAAGTGCACAAAGCGCCTCTGCGTCATGCAGCTGCCCACCGCCCAGGGGTTCCTCCGCACGCCGCCAAACACCGTGGCCAGACCCGCCAGCACCTGATGGGCGCATGGATGGCGCATGGATGGCGCATGGATGGGGCATGGATGGGGCATGGATGGGGCATGGATGGGGCATGGACGGGGCATGGATGGCGCATGGATGGGGCATGGATGGCGCATGGATGGGGCATGGATGGCGCATGGATGGGGCATGGATGGCGCATGGATGAGGCATGGATGGGGCATGCATGGGGCATGGATGCACCTGTGGCCAGCCCCGCCGGCACGTGATGGGCGCATGCGCGTAAGGGGCACATGCATGGATGCATAGGTGGGGCCACACAGCCGCACAAGAGGGGCAGGGCACAAGAGGGGCAGGGCACAAGAGGGGCAGGGCACAAGAGGGGCAGGGCACAAGACGGGCAGGGCACAAGAGGGGCAGGGCACAAGAGGGGCAGGGCACAAGAGGGGCAGGGCACAAGAGGGGCAGGGCACAAGAGGGGCAGGGCACAAGAGGGGCAGGGCACAAGAGGGGCAGGGCACAAGAGGGGCAGGGCATGGGTTGATGGGGAGAGGAAGGAGTACGGCAGGCAGGGGGTGCGTCCATGCATGGACGGATGGGGGGCTCATCGAGTAAGCAACCCGCTCCTTGACTGACTGGAGCACGGCGGGGCTCAACAGAGCATGCAGCCCGTGAATCTTGTTCAGGCCCGGCGTCCTCGGTTACACCCTTCCCCTCCCCCCTTCCCCCACCCCCATCGCTCCTCTGGCCGCCAGCGTCCACCAGGACGGCGCAAGGACGGCTAGATCATCTCAACATCAATTTTTGGGTTTCGTCCCGTGGCGCATCTCTCGCCGCAACCTCAGCCGTCCAGCAACACATCAAGCCCAACCAGACATCTCCGATGAGAGCAGCGCGAAGCCCTCGTGCAGTGCAACGACAGCGGACTCGGGGCTCGTCCAGCGGCGGCCAAGGTGAGCTCTGGGCGCCCGTTTGCTGCCAATGAATCACGGCGCGGGGTGTTACAACTCGCTCGCCTTACTGACAGTTAGCCTAGAGAAAGTGCGGCGGCGACGAGCGACTGCTGGAGACATCGCAATCCCCAAAGCAGCGCGCCAACCACCGGCGGGCAGCGATGGTCCTCCCCTTCCAAGATTCCACGCCCCGGCGCCCGTCGTCAGCGCACGGACGTGCGAACCTACTCCGTCCGTTGCTGCACCCACGCCCCCGCACGGGATCGAGGGAGACCCAGACCCGGCGAAGGTCCAAGCGCGACGTGCCATAATCCCGCCCCCGCCTCGGCCCCTTCATTGCGCTACACCCACGCGGGACGCTCCGAACCTGACCCCGCGTGACGCAGACCTCCATTGACGCTGCTGAGCGACCCCACGAACGCTGGCTTCCACTGAGTAACGCTAAATGCGGCTCTCAATGCGGGGCTCTCGGCGACCCGCGGGCTTTCACTGCAGAAGCTATTAAGTTTGGGGCTGCGCCGGGGGCGGCGTGAATGTCGCTTGCCTGCACGTCGTCGCTACCTGCACGTCGTCGCTATCTGCACGTCGTCGCTACCTGCACGTGGTCGCTACCTGCACGTGGTCGCTACCTGCACTTGGTCGCTACCTGCACGTGGTCGGCGGTCAGCATAAACTGCTGCTGCAGCGAGCGCGCGCGACCGGCGCACCAGGCGTCGAGCTCCGCCTTGCGATTGTCGTCGAAGCCCTTCTGCACCCTCCACGCCACCAGCCCCGCCAACACGCCCGCGCACGCCATCCACACCGCCACCGCCGCCGCCATTCGCGCCACCAACGCCCGACTCGGCATTCTCTTGGGAAACATTTCTGGAGGTTTCATACCGTGTTTGAACGGCGGTCACCACTACTGACTATGAACGTAAACAACTGCGAGTCGTGCGAGCCTCCATCACCAGTTCCAAACATGAAAGTAAAATCTAAGCTGCATAACTAGCTAGAATCTGAGCGTAATGAAACATCCAACCCTAAAATTCGTTATACCTACCCGTGCCTCCATTGTCAACAACGCAAGATCAACTGGTGCAGGATATTCAGGTAGACTGTGCGACAAGGAGGATGGTCACTCAGGGCCCGCTCAGACGGGGTAGTTACTCTGATAGCCAAGTTATGTGATACCAATTTCGAGAGATTGCAGAGGTTCCTCTCAATGTTTTGTCCATTGCGAGGATTTCCACGGATGTGTAGCAAGGCGGGACGCTGTGACGTAAAAGTTTTGCATAGTCTAGGGGAAAGGGATCGGCTTGGATTCCCCCACTTCATACCCCCTTCGTCCGTTCAAGCACTCTTCGTTCCTCTCAGTGGAATAACAGAACAGGATTCGTCGAAACGGATAGCCGATGAAATACTCCTGTTCACAGATAATGCTTTAATGTACATTACTTTGCTTGCACCGACGTTTTCACAGCTGCTCTGATTCCCGTAGTATAGTCTCAGGGCCAGTTAGAACGCGTGTCAGGCGGTCGGTACAGCCCTACCTGGCACCTGGAAGCACGTACTGCACTGGTGTCAGGGTAATTCGAAGCACGCGGCAACATTTCCTGCTCTCAGAAACCGGTAAACATCGCGTCTACACGTCAATTTCAGCGTCACGTGTATTCACAGTCCAACTGCAGCGAAACAAGCCAAGCCAGTAAGCATTCCTCACGACCTAGGTCTGCGACTGCTGAAATGTGAACAAATCTCCCCAGCAAGCCGCACGAAATCATGCGAGCCAAAACAGACAAGCGCTAAGTGTGGCGTGATTTGCATATACGGAGCGACGTGCACCAGGCGACACCGCAACAAGACAACACACCAAAGGACAACTGGGTGTCGCCTCACAAGCAGGGCTGACGCTAGGTTTTTGAGTAGCTCGGACAAGTTGGGCCCCTGGAAAATTTACCCTGTAAAATCCGTGCTGGCACGAAAATCTCCCGTTAGTCTCAGGGTCTCGTGAAGAAAAGCACGGATGAATCAGGGCTTTGCTAATAAAAACCCGTTCCCTAAACGTAAGTTATGGTTTAAAGCGAGAGACTATAATAGTGACCCCTCTTTCCAGTTGGGCCCAACTAGAGACGACCCAGCAGTGAATATGTTTTGGAGGGGCAGGCAGCAGCCCCCGTTTTTTACCAAGCCGTAGGCCACGAAATCGAATTGCGCTTGCGACATTTCGCACTGACGACAAATTTTACGACCATAGATTTGGGGTATTTATCTCCCGGGTAACCAACATCCGAGGTGATGACGTCAGCAGTCACCTACGTGGCTTCACGGTAACCATCAGATCGACATCGTCCCAGCGTGGTACCAATTATCCCTAAATGGTACCAATTTGTACTCGGCAGATTCCCTAACTGGTAACCGTCAGTTTCAACTTTTCCGAACTGCCCCCACGTGTTTCGTACACGCCCTGGCGAAAGGCGCGAAGAAGAACATCTGGTACAGAGTATTTCGCAGGTGCGCTTAGGCTGAAATGTTACGCAACACATATCATATAACACTATCATTATGTATAACATGTTCCTTTTTGTTTTTCAGTAGTTTTGTAACATTTTTTAACTGTAATAGAATTTGAATTAAAAAAATAACTTTTTTGAAAACCATTCATATATTTTCATATCAGTATAATAATTGGGGCCCACAGCATAGAATATGATAATACCACTGGCAATAAGTTCGTATCAAGGCATTCCTACTATAACCGCTCGACATGCTCATTATTATGAATTACTCATGAGTATAGCGCAGAGTTCTATAATTGAGAGTTACTATAATCCATGTCCATACAAATGAGGCCTAGTGTAAGGAATTACGATTCCTTACTGGGGCTCGCCACATCGAGTACCGCGAACAGTGCGCGTCCGCAGGCTCGGCCCTTAGTTCTCGTATTAAAACTATATAAGTTATATATAATTGATAGGCTTGGTAGTTGTTACTGAACCTTACTGTAGAGGGTACAATCCCCTCCTTGTACCCCTCTCTCTTCCTAATCGACCCTCTTCTCTCTCGTCAATCTTCCCTAGCTAAACCTCGGCCGCCATTCCATGGCGGCCTTCTCTTTTCTTGCTAGCTCACTTCAAGACATGGTACCAGAGCAGGCCGCCCTTCCCGGGCCTGCTCACTACGCTTCCGCTGCGTTCCCGTTGTTCCTTCGCCGCCGTTGCGGCTTTCCGCCTGCCTGCCACCGTGGCATCTTTTCCGTGATGCCGCGGCGACCTTTTAGTCCTGCCGTCTTAGCTTCGACGAGCAGCCGCGGCACCGACGTCACGCTGTGGCGGCGTCGTAATGGTGCCGCGGCGGCGTCGTCGAGCTGCAGCCGCCGCGTATCACCTCCGCAGCCGTTGCACGTGCAGCCCGTCCGCTCGCCAGTAAGCGCCGCACCAGAAATGGCGCTGCGCTGAAGTCCTGCAGCCCCACCACCTCTCCCTCCCCAACGTCTCCTCCTGCTCATGCAGTAGCTGCCGTCTTCTGCTCTGTCGTCGCCGGGTCGTGCCACACCGCCGAGAGCCCTCAGCCGCCACAGTCTCTGGCTGTCTTCCTCGACGCAGCCGCCTTGAGCACGTGCTCCGCCGCCGTCGTCGTCGAAGCCGCCCAGACGCGGGCAGCTGCCTCTCGTCCGAGGGTGTCATCGCCTAGCACGAGGGTTAGATATCCGGCTGCACACGAGCATGAGGGTGTACGGGATTAGGGGGTGTGTGGATGTTGGGTGGGTGTGTGACTACCAAGCCTAGGGGGTGTGTTAAAATTATATAAGTTATATATAATTGATAGGCTTGGTAGTTGTTACTAAACCTTACTGTAGAGGGTACAATCCCCTCCTTGTACCCCTCTCTCTTCCTAATCGACCCTCTTCTCTCTCGTCAATCTTCCCTAGCTTAACCTCGGCTGCCATTCCATGGTGGCCTTCTCCTTTCTTGTTAGCTCACTTCAAGACATCTCGCGCTAAACCAGCCCCCGTCGACCTTTTCGTCCCCAACTTGATCCCGAGTCGCCTCGAACCCATTTTGACCCCGTCAGCCTCGTGACTTCCGAGCCCTTGACTGGTCCAACCCTCGACATTCAACCCTGGTCAACTTGCACTATATAAGCCCTGTGCCTTATTTCTATCAACATTCTGTAATCAGTTTCCCCTATAATATTCTACGCTATACTCTGAGTTATAATTCATAACACCTATGACTTACATAGTGCTAGTTGACCAAGGTTGTACCTTGAGGGTTGAACCAGTCAAAGGCTCGAGAGTGCCGAGGGCGAAGGGGTCAAACTGCGTTCGGGGCGCCTCGGTACCACGTTCGGGGGCGATTAGTCGGTGGGGGTGGTTTGACGCCAGACTCGAGTAACCATCATCCGAGGTGATGACGTCAGCAGTCACATACGTGGCTTCATGGTAACCATCAAATTGACTTCGTCCCAGCGTGGTACCTATTATCCCTATGTGGTACCATTTTGTACTCCACACTTTTTCTAACTGGTAACCGTCAGTTTCTACGTTTCCAAACTGCCCCCACGTGTTTGGTACACGTTGCAAGCGAAAGTCATCAAGAAGAACATCTGGTACAGAGTATTTCGCAGGTGCACGTAGGCTGAAATGTTACGCAACACATTTTTATAAACCTCATATAACACTATAATTTTGTATAACAGGGGTTTAGGTTATTTAGTCGTTCTGTGGCCTATTTTTAATGGAAAATAATTACATGGGTCTGATTTTAATAAATGACTGGAAAAGCTTTCAGATCTTTGCACATCAGTGTAATGTTTGGGGCACATAGCATAGAGTACTAATAATAGCATTAGCACTCAATTCGTATCAAGGCATTCCTACAATAATCGCTCAACATGCTCATCATGAAAGGGAACACATGAACAGTCGAAAACACAGGACAAAGCCTGACACATTATTTGTATGATAAGCATGGAAACTAGACATTAGTTCCGTCGCTTCCATGACACGCACTCCCCATGTCACAGTATGCCTCATGTAATCGTTCAACATGAACATGAAAGAGGCATACACTGGAACAGTAAAAACACTGCACAATGCCTGCTACATTATAGTAATCCCAAGCGTGGAAACTACAAGTTAGTGGCGTCGCCTCCATGACATAATTTCCCCGTGAATAAATGTACTCACAGAAATATCTGAAAATAACTACTAATACAATGGGTGTTTTCAACAGCTCCAGCATTAGGGGCAGACTAAGGAACAGCATTACGTGCAGCTGCTGCATCAAGCCGTATGAGCAGCAGGGATGGCACGAGCAGCTCCATTACCGGTAAGTGCCAAAGAGATTAGGGCAGCAACTGCATAGTAGGAGGAGGAGCAGCAGCAGCAGGACCAGCAGCAGGAGGAGCAGCAAGCAGCAGCAGCAGCAGCAGCAGCAGCAACAGCAGCAGCAGGGAGCAGCAGCAGAAGCAGAATCAGGGAGCAGTAGCAGAAGCAGCAGCAGGGAGCAGCAGCAGAAGCAGCAGAAGGGAGCAGCAGCAGAAGCAGCAGAAGGGAGCAGCAGAAGGGAGCAGCAGCAGAAGCAGCAGCAGAGAGCAGCAGCAGAAGCAGCAGCAGGGAGCAGCAGCAGAAGCAGTAGCAGGGAGAAGAAGCAGCAGCAGTAGTAGCAGCAGCAGCAGCTGGGAGGAGCAGCAGCAGCACGGAGCAGCAGCGAGGAACAGCAGCACCTGCAGGGAGGATCAGCATCAACATTAGCAGCAGCAGCAGCAGCAGCAGCAGCATGGATGGGCTCTTGCAGCGTGGAACAGCAGCAAGGAACAGCAGTACCTGCAGGGAGCAGCACCAGGGTAATCGAGGCTCATGACTCCATGCTTGAGAACTTACGCATTGCTGACATGATGGGATTGCACACGTGGATGGCACTGGCATGCATCTCATGTCCTGTATGTTTGTCTAGCATGATATGCATTCTACATAGGATTTCAAAGCTGCGGCCTGCTCATGTTGGTTGTTCACTCACTTGTCACTATTGTGGCACCACTGCCTAGGTCACCCCGCGCTCCCCCGCCTGCGTCACATGTCTCAGCACGGTCTAGTCCTCGGTCTCCCTGCGTCGCTCCCTGCACTCCCTCCCCCGCCTGCGCCGTCGTGCACGCCCTGCATCGAGGGCCGGCTGCACCGTGCCCCTCACTCCTCCTCACTTCGCCCTCCCACTGCACCCCTTCAGACCCTGCACTTAGA